CTTCTGGACATTTGATGTCTATTTCAGGTGATTTGATATCTCCTTTAATCTTTGGACCTGAAACATCCATGTCACCTTTGAGTTTGGGGCCTTTCAAGTTGAAATCCACATCTGGCATGGATATTTTTGGGCCAGACAAGCTTGGCATGTTGAATTTTGGACCTTTCACTTTGGCATTTGGTCCCTTAATGTCAATATCTGCTCCTTCGATATCAACATCTGGTGCTTTCACATCAATATCTGCCTTGGGGAGGTTTATGTCAACATTTGGACCGTCTGCTTTCGTGCCTTTAATACCAAATGCGGGAGTCTTGAATTTGGGCATTTTTAGTCCACCTTTGTGACCCTCAATGTCAACATCTGGTCCTTTAATGTCCATCTCTGGACCTTTTAGATCTCCTTTTATCTTTGGCAGGTTAACGTCCACATCCCCTCCAACTTTTGGGCCTTTCAGATTAAGATTAACGTCTGGAACATCAACCTTTGAACCTTTCAAATTTATTGAAGACATTTTCATTTTAGGCATTTCAAATCCTCCCTTTGGTCCTTCAACATCAACTTCTGGACTTTTGATGTCTATTTCTGGTGATTTGATATCTCCTTTGATCTTTGCACCTGAAACATCCATGTCACCTTTGAGTTTGGGGCTTTTCAAGTTGAAATCCACATCTGGCATGGATATTTTTGGTCCAGATATGGTTGGCATGTTGAATTTTGACCCTTTTAGATTTGCATCTGGTCCCTTAATGTCAATATCTGCTCCCTCAATTTCAACATCTGGTGCTTTCACATCAATACCTGCCTTTGCGAGGTTGATGTCAACATCTGGACCTTCTAGTTTGGGGCCTTTTAAACCAAATGAGGTCATCTTGATTTTGGGCATTTTCAGTCCACCTTTGTGACCCTCATTGTCAACATCTGGGCCTTCAACCTCCACCTCTGGACCTTTGATGTCAATTTCAGGTGATTTGATATCTCCTTTTATCTTTGGACCTGAAACATCCATGTCAGCTTTGAGTTTTGGGCCTTTCAAGTTGATATCTACATCTGGCATGGACATTTTTGGTCCAGATATGCTGGGTATTGTTATTACTGGTGCTCCCACTTCTGTATATTTTACATCTGTTTTTGTCTTTGGCTGTGTAATTTCCATGTCATTTTCAGTTTTACGACTTTTCCCTCTCACATCAAGTTTTTGGTCTTTGCTCTTAACTGATGGCATTTTAATTTGGGATAATGGAAATCCGTCCTTTGACTCAAAATCTTCTCTTTCAGCTACTGCTGTCCTTACACTTTCTACATCCACATTACCTTTGATTGTTGAACCTTTCAAGTTCAGATTAATCTCAGGCATTCTTACATCAACTCCTACCTTTGAATCTGACATGTCGGCTTTGCCTTTACTTCTTGTGTCTATCTCTGTTCTTGTTCGCGTTTTGAAATGAAAGCCATCATTATCAGTTACCTGAGATTTATCAACGTCTGAATCCATTTCTTGATATTTAATGGCTACTTCTGAGCTGCCTTGACTAGTGGTCTTTAATGATGATGTGTTTATATGTGGTAATTTCAAATCACCTTCTTTTCTTTCAGTGTTTACATCAGGACATCTAAACTCTACTTTTGTTGCTGCTGGAACTCCCTCATCTTTTTCCCCACTTTTTGGCTTTGCACTTGGAAGAGTAGTTTGCCTACTTGTCAATGAACTTCTGTCTGGATGTGAAGAATAACCAGTGTTGATATTAGTCTCTGTAACAAGTGTTACCATTCCAGGATCAGCAGATTTTCCAACTGTTTTAACATCAAAATAACTTGATCCCTTGTTTAGGTGGAGGGATGTGTCTCCAGATGCTCTCTGGATCTTAATGTCTTCTTGTGGCAGAGACAGACTAGCTGATCTCTTGTTTTCATCATTTGTGGTTAATTCTGCATTTGCTGACCCTCCTACTGTAACAACCTTCATAAAAGTGCTTTTACTTTCACCAGATGTAGTCTGTTTTTCAGACTCATCTATTCTTCCAGCTGTCTGTTCTTCACTTTCTCTTAAGATTTTAGTGCCCTCATGACCTATAACTCCAAACTTAGGTCCTTTAAATCTGAGGTCCTTACTTCCTTCTGTTCCCTCTCTTATAATTATCTTTGACTGATCTCCACTTGTATTTGTTTCTGTTGAGCTACCTTTTAGACCAGAATAGGTTACATTGCATGTCTCAAAAACACCCTCTTCTCCCACCCCTTTAACTGTAGGACTGCCGTGCAATATCCTGACACGAGGAGAGCCATCTCCAGAGTCATGCCGTTGTCCCTTGAAGTCTGAGCTTGAAAGTTCTTGTTTCTCACCTATCCCACTTGGCATATCCACTGTGTAAGTAGTGATGCGGCGAGTGATGGTTGTAATAGTACTGCCATCACTGCTAGTGCTGCTGTGTCGCTCTGTACGAACATCCACTCCTTCTGCAAGATCTTCAGACTTCAGCCTTGGTTTAATCTTCTTTGTGTATATTCTCTTGTAGTCCTCATCATCTCCACTCTGCATCAACATACAACATCATGTTTGTGAAAATATCAATATACCGTATACTGTATATTTTATCCATTTGATAATCACAGTAGCTCTAAGCAAACTCAAACTTTTGGTTTCAGATAACTTACGAGAATGATTTCTGGACTTGATGCTCCAAACTGTGACTTCCCTTCCCACGTGAGGGTGCCCATTGGAGAACGACAAGGTGTGCTCAAGGGTGAGTAGCAAGGGGATTTGTCTCCTTTGTTTTGTAGTTTCAGTCCAACTTTGTGTTTGTTCAATGTTTTCAGTAACTCTGCTGTCTCTTCGGAGCTCATATTTTCAAAGTAGATAGTTGCACCCACAATCTGATCACCTACAAATTGAGTATGGATGTTTGTTATGAATTAATCTTAAAAAACAAAATAGATGGTGAAAAAATATTTCATATTTTATTAAAGACATCAAGATAATGTACTACCTTCATATACTTTTCCAGATCTTGCTGCAGGTGACTCTCCTTTCACCTCCTTGACGAGGAGCTCCCCTCCACTTGTGTGTTCGATGGTCAAGCCAGTTTTGTCTGGGCCCTCCCAGTCTTGAAAGAGCACTTCCCTGGTGTCCTCTTCGTCAGCCATCTATAAAAGTAATAAACATTTAGTTAGGCAGAAAAAAGAGTGGGGCAAAATGCGTTTGGTTGTCATATTTGATAACTAACTTCCTGTGGAATACACTTATATTGCAGGTGAAATTTCCAAAATAGACAGAAATTATCCATATAATAATATCAGGTGTTCTACGGTGCACACTGAAGTTTTAGAATTTTTACATCAAAAAAATTGAGGTAAAAATAAATGTTTTGATTGTGTTCAGGTTTTCAGGAACAAAGAAAACCTGAAATGAATTATTTCAGGTTGTCTGTGTTCCTCCTCTATGGCTTTTACGAAATAAGTTTTATTTTTAATGAAATATTTATAAGGATTTTTAAGTATACATGGAGAGTTTAGCTGCAAGAAAATACATCACATTCTCTTGGAGGTTGTGGTGATATGTGATGCTGATTACTTAAAATTGTGGTAGGCTAAAAGGCTCTGCATGGTTGAGGCAAACTGTTGAAATTGGTTCTCATTGTTGCAGCTGTGTGACCAAAATAACGTCATTTTGTTCTCAGCCTCATATTGTCCACCTTTTCTTGTCACAACTGCCCTGGCTAACTCCTGGAAGTGCATACTGAAGCATTAAATGCCCCATGCTCAGTTCTGGTCCAATGTAGTGGGCGAGCAACTTACAGACGGCTTGTTCTTTTTTCTAACATGAAAAGTAAAATGAGATTTTCCAGCTTATCAGTCATTGTTTCCTCCTCCTCTTAATTTGTGTAAGAGTCGATCCTCTCTCCCATGATTGCTGTTTATACAGTAGGCTACTGTTGTAAACCAGACACATGGCAAAACACTATGACGTTACTGCAGCAGGATGGGTTTCACAGAAGCTTCGCTCAAAGTGTCTTGCAAACTGTAAGGGGCTGTGTGAAAACAAACGTCCAAAAACCGCCTGATGGCGCATCGATAGTTTGACTTGATTTGACCATGCTTAAGAGTGTCACATCAGTTATTGAACATTGTTAAAATACTGCATTGCAACTAGTCCACAAGAGGCTCCAGGAGGGGACATTTGTCTATTGCTACCTGCAAGATCTATCAGGAATTGTTTGGTTGTCACGATGAGAAGGAAAATCAGCAAGTGGAATACATCATGACCTCCTCAGATATTTCAGTTAAGAAAAATTCATACTAAATTTGTAAGTTAACGAGTATTTTCCATCTTTGATGGGGTTTTTTTGAAGCGATGATGGAAAAATCTGATGGCCGTCCATTATTTTGACAGATTGCACACTTGGTGCAGACGCGCAGACAGGTTCAGACAGAATATTGTAGTCACTAACTCAATCAATCAGCTCTATGATAAATTTACACCAGAGTATCATCTCTGATTTTGACTTTTTCTGAGAACTGACGGTGGCACATTGAAGAGGCTTCGGAGTGCATCAAGTGCAACTGAATCCCTCTTAGGGGAATGTGTGCAAAATGAAGTAATATTGAGAGTCTAGCCGACTTTTGATCACTTCAGTTGATGAAATGTTTACCTGATTTCAAAACTTTGTTACTACAGAGAAAATGTTAAATGTATTCAGCTTGGTGATGACACACCAAGCTGTCTTGTATATTTACTATATGTCTTTGCATGTATAATTTTTCCTTGATTTGTGATTTGATTTGATTTGGAATTTCTGTATTTAGTTGCAGTTTTACAAAATTAGCAACACATTCAAAGCTCCATTATGCACCTTTAATAAACAATATGTTTTTCACATATTTGATAAAAGTCTCATCAGCAGACAATCTATGAAAAAAGTCAAGTTCCTCTGTCTCCTCCCTGTGGTCCTACTGCCATCTGCAGAAACACACTGCTCCTTGTCAAAAATAACCAATCAGACTCAGAGGAGCACTTGGCACTGTTAATAATGGTTGTGTATGTCCTGCTCAATTTGCTAAAGGTGGAGAAACAATTTACTGTTACAGAAAAACTGTTCATCTGCAGACATTGGTGGCCATGTTAAACAGCCTGAGCATTCATGACATGCTCTGGTGTAAGAAACAAGCTGTAGCCTACCAGAGATCAAGGGGGAAGGTGTGAGCAGTACTAAACCCTCCTGGTTCTGATTGGTTGTTTCTGTCTGAGCTGTGTTTATCTGCAGATGCCTGCAGGACCTCAGGGAGGAGGTAGCTTGATTTGTTTCTTTTTTTTTCAGATATTTCTCATTTTATGAGAAATATATATTGTGAAAGTTTTAACAAATATGTTATTTATTTTTTCTTTTTTTTTATAAAATTTACTTAAATAAGTCATTAATTGGAAATAATTACCTGGAAATAAATACAGAAACAATTGGTAATAATCAAATAAGTGTAGAATTAATTATGTGTGCCAAAATTCAATATATTGATTTTATTTTAAAAACTAGATATAAGAATTAGTGAATTAATTCAAACTATCGGTTTAACCCATCAAACTGAGTGGGTAGCAGCTATAGAGACCATGTCACCTGCTTGCTGCTTCAAACAGAAAGTCAAGACAACTTCTTTAAAGTTTTCTCTGACTGTAAAGTTAATATCTCTGATGGAAAATGAGGAAATGACATCAATAACATAACTAAATTGTGACAGCGTATTTACCACAAACCAGTGTCAGTGAGCTTGTGGCAGTTTCCGCCACTTAGGACCATGTTAATGTGTCTTGTGAATTTATTTGAGATATTTCAGACCAAACTAGGGACATGGAAGCTGAAGTTCCTCACCCAGTGTTTGAAGGAATAAATACAATTTATTGAAGATATTTCCTCATCTTTTGAACAAGTTTATCTTAAGTGTAAAGGTACTCGATTTCAAGCTGACAGTCTAGGCTTCGACTACACATCAAAATAAACTCAACGGAGGAGAACACTTTTTTTCAGATTTTCCTTTAAAATAATTGCAACAAAAGCCGACGCATGTTACCTTGATTTTGTTTTCCTCTGATCCAGTCCTGGTTCGAGGAAAATGCTGTTGTTGTTTTCCTATATGACAAACACACAAAAAAACAAAAAACAAAAGCACAATAAAAAATTAAAACAATTTCTCTATGAAAAGCATTCATCATGACTGACGATAATAACATATAAGATCCATGTATGAACACTAGATGGTGATAAAACTCAATTGACAACATAGCTTCCACTACCTCCAAAAACCAACTCCCTCGTTTTAAAATGGTTTAGGGTATTTTTTGTAAATGTGGGTGCAGTTAGACCACACCCTGCCCCGAGGAAAGCAGGCAAATCCTGTGCCTACACCCTGGCTTCAAAGTCAGTAGAAGGAACAATGATGGTGTCCAGCTTTATGAAAGCATATGCTGCAGAAAGCTGAACAGAAAATGCATACATTTTTATGTCGCAAGCCGCTGTTATTAAAAGTAAATATTCACACTGACAAACGACAAAGAGGAAAACTACTGTAAATTCAAAAGTACTGTACATAGGAAATTGTTTCAGTCTCTTTACTAAGAATTTCTTTATAAAGACTGTCTTCCAGTCTTTCAGTAAGTATCAGCTTGCAATGTTCTCTGTATTTTTATCTTAACATCCAATTTGTTTCCTAAATCCAAGGTCAATCCAGTAAATGGCAGGATATTTACAGGGAAGACGATGTTCTTTTCAAGTAAACTGAATAATGGTCCATCTTTTTAGTCTGTCACACGAGGGGAGATTTTGAAGGTGAAACCACTTCTGAGCTAAAGTAAAATCATGCATTTGCCAAAAACATCTTCCATATCTCAAAATTCTTAAGAAAATATTTTCTAGGTTGATGAGACAAAAGTGGAACTCCTTGCAGTGGCTGCATCCTATGACATCTGGTGTATCGCTAACAATATTTCAGAGGGCGAATCTGCTTGGGTCCTTGCAGGACTTTGACGACAAGTCGTATCTGTTAAGCCGTGAATTGTACTCTCTCCTAAAATATCCCAAAAGAGCTTGTGTGGTGATTAGAAACACACCAGTAAGTCTATTTCTGATTTAAGGGCTTTGAAGTGACCTAGCCAAATTCCGGACTTGTATCTTTTGGGTTCTATCCCATGACCCTAAACAGGTCTGTCACTTTCAAAAACATTCCAGTATGGCATAATTAAAAGAAGAGCGGGCCAAAGTTATTTCACAGCAATGTAAAAGACTCATTGCCAGGTATCAAAAATTCTTAATAAAAGTTGTTGCTGCCAAGGATGGCCCAGCCAGATATACGGCATAATTACGTTTTCACAAAGAGTCCGTTTAGCTTGAATTGCTTTTTCATTTCATAAGTACATTTATCATCTGAAAACATCATTTTGACCTGTTATTTAATCTTTATCTGATATTAAATAGTTTTATAATCTTAAAGATTGTAGGCTTACGAGAAAGACATAATAACCAAATCTAATGTGTAACCTTGGTTTTCTAGTCCTGTTCAAGGGTAAAGACACAACGTAACAAGTCAATAAATAGACTGGTTTTGTGTGATTGGGGACACAGGGGGATGTGTACAATGCTTTGAGGTAATATTAAACCCTGTTAACCTCTCTATCTGGAATAGCTTTTTCCCAATGCTCTAGGCTGCACAACACGCTGAGCATTGTAACTTATGTTAGTGAAGAGTAGGTTAGAGTTCATGGCAAAGATCCGGACAACCAAATGCAGGTAACTAAAACTTCAACTTTTCTTTCCTCTTCATGCTTTTTATCTCACTTAATGTTTCAGTGTGACCCATCTAAAGCCTGAAATGCGAATCAGTGAAGACTTCAAACTACAACTTAGTAAGCATGAATTTATCTCTGTGTCGAATGACTATGAAGAGGAGTAACATAGCCTTATGTACAATTTTAGCTAATGAATTTTAGTGACGCATATCTGCTTAAATTGAATGCACCAATTTGTTTCCTTTAAAACGCCAAAATGCAAGGGGCCAAGTGGAGTTGAGTCCCCTTCTATTTTTATTTCTTTAATGAGCAAGCCCAGTCTCAGGTATCCTTCCTTTGCCCTCCGTTAGTATAGGTTTAAAAATTTCATCAAATGGTTTGAAAAGTGAGCAGTAAAATTGATGCAGCAAAATCACATGATTAGTTATAGACTGCGCAGCAAACAGCTGCTGAATAAATATGGCTTTGTTCTCCAAATCATAAGACAAGCCTGCAGTGGATGACTCAAACAGCTCCGACAACATGACAATCAACTTTACTTTCTCCACTTAAAAATAGATATGTGTTTTTCAATTTGGAGCTTTGAAGTAAACCATGAAGGATGTGAAAATAAGGACAGAGGGAGTCAGACAAGCTTGTCTGTCATGTTTTATTACAGTTTGGTATGTGTGTTGGGAAAAGGGGGCATGGAGAACAAGGCAGACTAAAGCCTCTTATAATAAAGCATAACCACAAAACATTTCTGGGTGTCCATGCCTTCTCGCTGACCCACAAGATGTTGCGGATATTTTGATTTTTTTTTTTTTTTTTTTTTTTTTTTCCCGTACCAACCAAACAGCACAAGCTTGGCGGGCTTTTGAGTGAACTGTTTCATAAGAAGGCTTAGAGAGTAGAACAGGTGGTCTCTTGCAGAGGAGCCAAATGTCAGGCTGCAAGATTCGGCACAGCTGAACAGAGCGGCCATGACCATTAAGGTTCAAATGCAGCCTTGCAACTGATATCCCAGAAGCAGTTTTGAGTCCAGTCACACGGCGTACTGTTGGAGTGGTGTACTGTGCGGTGTGTAAGTTAGCCGTCTTTACTGAATGTGTGGAGTGTGAGGACACTTACCTTGGATTGCTCAAGCTAATCCAAGGACTTCAGTCTGCTTCTTGTGTTCTTCTTTTTTGACTTCTGTTGAGAGCAACACAAAAACAGAATTGGGATTTAATATGGGATTTGTGAATATTCTTCTATATGGTGTTAAGGCTACAGAGAAAAACCCATCTGTGTTTTTTTTTACACAGTCAGACACCTTTTTTCAGTTGAACTGTTAAAAATTGTGTCAGTCTACCAAGATATGTTTTAGTTATTAATTTTTAGTTACTCATTAGTTAATTATTCGTACTAAATTAATCAGATGCTTCATCTCCAATCAGACTCTTCAGACTTTAAGTAAATAAATCTAAATATCGGCATGGTATGGCCCTCACTTTACGCGGAGGGGAGACAAATGGACCCTTTCCACCTAATAACTAAGCTAAAGTCTGAAACTAAACTTTAACATTTTCAGTTCTGATCTTTCTCTTGGTTTGTGACTACGAAGTAGAAAACCACCAAAAGGCCAGTCACAGACTCCCAATGCTCGTGAAAAAAAGCAATTGTTGTCGGAGTTGCATTTATCATTCGGATCCTGATCTTCCGTAGGCAAGCCTACTCTCTTACTTCCACCCGCTGCAGCTGGTCTGACTTTTTAAAGGTCTTGTGTGGATTATTGTGTCAAGCTAGTGGCATATTGTGAAACAAAGCCTCCATTTTGTCAGTGAGAGAACAAACAGAACCAGACTTGATGTGAGTGTAGAAAGGCATCTACCAGTGGGAACATGTCGATCAGGACAAATAGCTCCATAGCCCTCTCATTAACTTCCTCCTGCACAACACCCTATTTTTAATATGCACTAAAGTGTTCATTACTTTGATGCTAAATAACAGGGCTTATTCAGACAGAGGCATTTTCTCAGTAGTCTGTGTATTACTTATGTGTGTAATATATACAGCAATAAAGATAAGGAAAGTAAAAGTGTTATTTAAAATCAAGATTACATGTATAGCTTTTTTTTTCTTGTTTGTTTTTGAATGTGACTCATACTGGAATAGCTGAGATCAACACATCGAGTTCTCGGTTGTTTGTGTTGGGAGACTGGCAGCACGGCAGCTGTGTACACTTTCCAGTCCATCCTCTTGTTACTGCTAGGTATTAATCAGACCGCCTTGTCAGAAGTCATTCGGGAACCTCCTGACTGAAATCTGTTAATGGTCATAGAAGCAATCTGACACATAAGATGAGGCAGAAGCAAGTTGGATAACTCATGTGCAAAGAGGCTGCCACACCTTCTTAGCCTTGGTGGCACTCTAGACATAACTACTGATGTGGTCCTCAGTAGTGAGAATAGTCTCATGAATACTAAGCAACTTACACATAGAAATAGTACACTACACATGTGGGATGAAGAACAGGTTGCTTTGCCTATATGTCTTGCTTACAGAGTGAGGTACTCAAACTGTGCAACCCCACCCAGGCCTCCAGTCACACACATTCCTTGATAGAGCTGTCAGGCCAACTGGAAGGGAGCCCAGCCTCTCCCTACAGTGACTAACTGCACAGAAATGTCCCTCTTTCTCTCTCACACTGAATCCCGCCCCATACCCTACTCAGTCGCTCACACCTCCGTAAGTCAGCCCTCTATATCCCCTAAAACTCGAGGCTGTGCGCTGATGAACAAGAGCCCTACATCCGTCCAAATACGTGAACGCGATAGCAAGGCAAAGCATGCCTTTTTAAAAAGACAAACTAACTGTGAACTTATTTCACAGATGCAATGGTTATCATTTCACTTAAATCTTTCTCCCCACCTGGATGACGCTGTGAAAATCTTTTAGATGTTTTGAATTTCATTTCTACCAGTTTTCCCCAACTCCTGCGGGCACATATCAGTTTTGCCATCATAATATCCCCGTAAGTAGGTCACAATGTGATGGAAACATATGAAGAGAGTTGAAGTTATTCCACTCGTTTGATTGCCAAATCTAATCAATTTGGTGTGCAGAGAAGGGAAGCAGTGTGACAATGATTACATCTCACTGCTTAGTATATCAAGCAGTGATGCCGGGCAAAGATAAGATTTGATTATGAGCAAGTAGAAAAAGACCTCTGTGCAGCGAGGCAAAAAGAGGACAAGGAGAAGTGAGCAAATCAGTCTTGTTGTCAAAACAGAATGGGCTCCCTGTTTCCCCTTGCCGCGTTGGAGTTTGACGCAGCACGTAAAGCAAACACAAAGAGAGATACAGCAGGCCTCAGCCTCTGGTTATTCCCCAAAGAAGCAGATAGCCCATGGATGTATGACACACATAAAAGGAACAAGCATCAAACTAAATTGTTCCTTTCTCCTCTGAGTGTTCGCATACCCTTGAAGGAAACCACAAGTCCTGAATACGACCAAAGCCTGTCTGCTGACGCCAGCTCGGTCGGCTGCTGATTAAACCATTGGGACTTTGGCAGGAATCCGACAGCAAATGGAAAAACTGAGAAGTTCTTCTCCTTCTTTTATGAGATCACAAACAAGACCAACCACCTCCTAATGCAAACTGCAACTCTGCCTTCACCACCATTCTGATCAAACTCCATGACACATGGAAAACATTGACTTATATGTCTTAAAAGGGTAAAGGTATGAGACAGCTCATGGCTCTTTTTTAAACTTTGTTCTGTGTCCCACCAGCAGACAACAAAGAGGGGAGGATCTCGCTTTGAATTTCCTCTCACCAAGGTTTCCAACTTTTTCCATATGTGCAAAGAGTTTTCAGGATGTTTTTCCCATCCTTTCTAAGAAAAGCATCAAAATCAGTTGTGCACACAAGACTGGGAATACCATACTCTGAAAGTCAATAAGTTCTTTTGTTGTACCCCCTCCCCCCTAAAAAAAAAAAAAAAAAACAGACTGGAATTGAAAAAACGAAGCTATGTCATTACTTTACAGAATTTCACTTTAGTTGTTCTTTTCTGAAATGAGAAGTGAGGCTGGGCTGAAGCCAACGCACTGTTTCACAGCTGAGAACATTGAGCAACAATGAAAGCATAAATAATAAAAAAAGCATAGACCCATTTCCTTAATGTGGAGACATATATATATATATATATATATATATATATATATATATATATATATATATATATATAAAATATTTTAACTTGTTTTAAACACTGGTAAGAGGAGAATAAATTTTAAAACAGAATCATACAGATATTGTAAAAAAATAAAATCTATGTATGTCATGATGTGCTGTTTTTCAGCTTCAAGGCAGTTTGTCAAACTGTTTAATTTGCTACAGCTGATGTTTACACTAAAAATAATCTGAAGCCGTTTACAGTGGAGGGGACAAGGGGGATTGCAAATAAAGCTAGGTGGCAGCAGAATGTATATATTTATAGACTCATACGTTCCTTAGCTACAGAATTTACATCATGACCGGAGCCAACAATATGCATTTGATATATAAAGCACAGAAGTGAGATTTGTTGGAGCATTTTAGACAGCGAGCCATATCAACCTTGACTATCATCCGCCAGATAAGGAAAACCTAAACAACACCAAATGTTTTCCCAACGCTGCATTCCGGGCACAGATCCCTGAAATTCTGGGCTCCAACCCTCCCCTGCTAAAAGATTTGCTAACAGATGCAGCGTGTTACTCCTTGCATGGGGAAACATGACAGGTTTTAACAGTGAGGAGCAAGGTAAGATCGTACAGTGAAGCAACACTTGTACAAGATTTATTGTTCTGGGTGGTTCTGTGGAGCAGATGTTTGGATGAACGGCAATGTAAGCTATTAGCTTATTCACACCCATTTTGAATTCTATGCTCGCAAGAGTTCAGCCAAATGAAAAGCTACAATAAACAAATCTGAATTGAATCCACATGCATGGGTGGGACTTTTCTGGCGAGATTATCATAACTCTCAAAACACTATTTTTCAGCAGCAGAGCATGCAAGAGTAATGATAAAAGCTCCTCAGAGAGTTTTGAGTGCATGGTGGAACAATCCAAACCAGCGCTGGATGGGTTGAACAGGGAGTGGCTGCTGTGTGGACTGCCTGAAAAACTTTCTAAAAGCGTACTATACTCTTATGTGTGTTATTTGCAGCTGAAAGAGAACAAAACCTTAACAAGCCTCAAAAGTGGATTCTGCTGGAGCTTTGTACAGTTTAGAGACAAATAACCTATAGTTTCTTCTTTCATCTTTTTCAGAACATTCACCGCCCTCTTGTATGGTCAACACGCACTGTGTCTTCTTGCAGCCACCCACTTGACGAAATCTCAAGGAAACGGCAAAGGAAGTGCGCTGAAGACCAGTTTCCTTTAATTTCACACTGAAGAGTATTAAAAACAGCGCTGCTCTCATTCCTGCTGTCAATCAGCAGCACCCAAAGAGTGCGTGCAGCTGTATCTGATGAGGCGCGTAGACCTATATCTTGACATAAGTCAAGGTTTCCAGCAGTCATGAGACATGGCTCACTAAAAGACTTTTTTTTTTTTTTTCCACGCAGATGTCACATTGAACCAACTCAGCAATAGAAAGGCAGACAGCGCATGTGAAGACAAACAGTGCCCACCCAAGGCCACGACGAGGCCCTTTTTACTGACAAGCATTTCAGCGTCTAACAGCTGATATCAAAACATATTACGACCTGATAAGCGAATTATTATGTTAATTTAAAGTTCACACCTTCACAGTTATTTCCTAGCCAATCTAATCTTTTTTTTTTATTTATTTATTTAATTAAAAGGAGTATCCTTACTCAACGCAACGCCCATAAATACCTTTTAGCTCAATGTGACAATTTAGCTCTATAAGCAGTGCATTTTATAATCAATCAGCTTGACAAGAGCAATTAAAAACTCGCCAGACATATATTGCTGCGGGGCACTAAACGTTGGTTCGACGTACGTGATAGAAAACAGTGTACAGGGTGGTGCGAAAAGCAGCTCGGAGTTTTGGGTGTGGCAGGAGGGAGTTGCGGAGGACAGGCGACTTGTACATTGCCAAATCTAACTTCTAACTAAGGTTCAGCAAAGAATTACGTGTTACTTTTTCGGTCCCTTTTTTTTTTTTCCACAATTCAAACGGTGTTTGGTTATAGGCGTGATTAAAACATTAAGTGGCAATACATGTTTTGAAGAGCACAAAATATAAACATAATAATGTTTGAAAACTTCTGTCAGTTTTTGGATTTCTGAGAGAGAGAAATGAAAAAAGAAGCGTTTTCCCCTCATTCTTCCAACGTGCTAAGCCTTTGCTCCCCCTTTCTACGCCTCAAACCTGGTTTCAATTAGCTTGTCTTTCCAAACCACTACATTCCATAACTCCCCTCCTCACCCCAGAACCGCCCATCCCCCCCTCACCAACACGCTTACTGACTCTTTCCCTGTCTTCCTACCATCTTTTCCCCACACACACCCTGGCATGGAGCCCAGGTTAAGTAACCCAAGGTACGGGGAAAATAAGGAGAAATCGTCCTCTGTCCAAGACTTACAAACGAGTAAGTCATAAAAGATTTACATGCGTCACGGCTGCAGGGGTTTAACGTTTCTATCGTAGGAAATAAAGTACATATTTGGTCAAGAAATAAAAAACAAAAAACTTACACAGATGTTCAACATTTCATAACAAACATTTTGATCTGAAAGCTTACATAAAACACCAACAGAGAAAAGTTAACAACATTCAACATGCGCCCTTCACTGTCCAGTCAGGATGTTTAAAGAGTTCGACTGTGACAACTGTCTATGGTGTGTATGGGTTCCTTTTTTTTTTTTTTTCCTGGCTGTAAAAGGGTGTGCCTGTCTGAGGAGACAGCAAAGCAAGAAGGGAGGGAAGAAAAAAAAGAAGCAGGAGAAGGGAGGTGAAGGAGAGAGATCCACACCCAAACTTGTTGCTGCAGGCTCTAACAGTGAAGTACCTTCACTTGCTATCTAACAAAAGGTGAAGTATAGATGGGAGAAAGGCATCAACCATAACATCAACACAACATGATTCCCGCCATCCAGCCGCTGCCACGTCATTCCATCCACAAATTACTCTTTAGAGGTTCTCTTTCCAAATCAGGATGCAGAATAGTGTGAATGCAAAGAGGCATCAAATTATCAAACCGCTACAGAAAAACTGTGATTGTGTAAGACCCCTATTTTTATTCCTCAAGTCACTTAAATCACTTTTGGAAAAGTTTCTTAAACACTTTCATGCCTGTTCGACTTCTTCTGTTAGGGGAAAATAAAGTGCGCCACTGCAGTTAAACCCTCAGCATTCATGTGGCTGTGGGTACACACCCACTTCTCATGCCATGCTTTGCTTTAAATGAGGTTTTGAATGTGCAATGAGATCCATACAGATTGTCCCTTTACAGAAATATACTGAACAAAAACATAATACTCTAAACTTCCCAGAACTTTCTATTGGAAAAAAAAAAAACTTTTTTTTTTGGAAGAAGCACGCAGCATCAGAGCACATGTAATAAAGCAGGACAATGTCATTGTAAACTTACAAACAGACATAACAAGTGCCCCATAATGGTACAATAAAGGAATGCAAACTGATAACACTAACGCTTTTGTGACTGTGCTGTCGAAACTGACTGAACACCTAAATCTTGATGGGCAGATAAGTGTGAAACAAAGAACAGTTTGTCAAATTTCAACAGTCAAAAAGCAAACATTAACTTTACTGTAAAACAGAAAAAAAAGAGAGAAAAAGTTCATCTTTACCTGTGCGCAATCGCTGCGCCAAAGAAGCCTCACACCCGCATGAGCATCCTTGAAAAACGTGTCTTCTCCCCTTCACCCCAGCATAAACAGAGCACTTTTCACACTGTCACAAGTTTGCAGTCTGTCAGACGTCTGTCTCTGTTTTCCTATTTCTCGACCACTTAGGCTTCCAGGGCGTTTTCTGTCCCCTCCTCTTTCCCTCCCTCCCTTCTCTGAGTTGATTTAAGCCTCTTGTTTTTTTGTTTTTTTTTTTTCTCTCTCTCTCTCTTCTGTGTGGCTCCTACTCTGGACTAAGCCGAGTGGTTGGACCAGGAGCTGTGTAGGGCTCCTGGTTTGCAGAGGGAGGAGAATACAAGGGAGGAGACCTGTTGGAGGGAGTGGTCCTTTCCACTGGGACCACCTACTGTTCCACATTGATGGCTGCAGAGACGTATAACAAAAAGACTGAGTTCTGGCTCAGGGGAGAAAAGGTGAATGACAGTATGGAAACTGGGCAAACAACAGTTTTGAAACGGCTCTCAAACACATTCGTGTACATTTTCATTGCCATCAGTGTGTAACTACTTAAACGTGATGCTCATGTGTGTAGTCTCATGCTGACACAGTTTAACACATCACAATGTGCGATCATATGACAGACAACAGCACAACCCTGCTATAACAGCACTGAAATTACTGTACACAAACTAATACAAACTTTTCATTAACCAAGTGACTCATAAATGAAAAGTCTTCCTGTACTCAAAAGCAAAACTATTTGTTTACTTAAAAGTTTTTAACTGGCGCAGTGCCACCCAGGATGACGGAGTTGCAAAAACTCAACTACTTTTATTTAAGTTAGGGCTGTTTGAATCGTAAATAAACTATAATAAGTGCAGGTTTTACATTCTTTTATGCAGAGGTTCTCTAGCATAAATTGCCCTTTGTAACAGCACTTAATGTGCCAAAAAGTCTCATAACTGTGGCATGGCTCTGTAATAATCAGAGTGAAATACACTGTCAAACATTTTAATGAAGTAGGCGCTCCTCCTCTCCCAGCCTACTGTCATTTGAAATAAGCTTAAAGCTCCTTAAAAGCACAGTTTTGCTTCAAGCTCTTATGCAAGAGCAGCCAAAGAAAATAACACCAATGTTAAATTAAACACTTGGAAATTGGTCAAAGCTGCACAGTTTTCCATGAGTAGGAAAAATAAAGGAAGGCTTTATACGACATTAACAGAGTTGCTGCTCAATGACAACCTCAGCAGAAAAATCTGCCTGGAGTTATATGAGGGTATTTGGACCAGCAGCTGGAGTATATATTAAAATATCTGGTTAAAGGAGTTCAGTAACTAAAACAAAGTAACCCAACCTTTCCTTCTGATGTTCCCAGTGGCCACGCCATATGAACTTAAGTGCCCTTTTTTTTCTAACACCACCCTTTGTGTTGCTTTCATTTAAGCTGATGTCAGAGACATCATACTATAATACATAGATTTTTAACTGACTGGAGCTTTCAAAAATTGCAGCTTCTTCCATATTTTGTTAGGTATCCTTATTAGGATATTTTATTGATTTTTTTTTCTTTTTTCAGTTTTTCAGTAATAAAAACCTGAAAAATAAACTATTAATGCCAGTCTTTGGAGATTTCCACCTCTTATCAAGGACAAATTATTACTTACATTTTTAGTCTCACAATAAATATAGACCCATTTTTTGATTTTGGGAGCAAAGTCATCTGCTGGTGTCGGTCAGTTGTGTTGTATCAAATCCATGACTTGGGCCCTTTTCACACTGCCCACAATATTAATACCTGTTTTCATGACCAAGGAATCACATTTTTGCTCAATTTACCAGCAAACGCATCTGACTTGGAATCCATGAAGTACAGTCAACTCCCTCCTATTTGTGGATTTTTCCCTGGAACTTGGCTCCAAATGATTCACTGAAAAATCCATAAATTATTTGTAGAGAATAACTAAAATATTGAATGAAGCTCGGGTGACCTGAAATATTGAGTTGCAACTGACATGTTATTGGCAGCCAATCCGATGATTGACTGTACCCCCAGGTGTGGAATTAAGGAAGACTGTAGATACCACAAAATGCCTTGAAACACACAAATTAAACAATTTTATCGACAGCCGGCAGTACTTGAAGGCTTCCATTAAATGAAATAAAGTGACATCAGAGTTAAAGAACCCATCTTTCATGTCCCTCAAAGATGCTTCACAACCTGGACTTAACCCCTCAGCAAAGCCACAGGCATGGGCTCCACGTTGCAGGGATGCAGTAATTCTGCTTGGGAGACTCACAGATTGAGGAAGCAGCAATTAGAAGGTTTTTATTTGAAAGCGCTTCAGCGCTCGGATCCCAGTAGAAAACGTGTATGCTGAGAATTGTCATCAGCTTGAATGGACAGTCTAGGGTGGGGATTAGGGTCTTTTTTCCTCCCTGGGGAGGACACTGGTGGTGGAGTGGAGACCAGAAAGAAGGGGAGCCTGAAGAAGCCTGGGAGGGTGGAGATGAGGTGGAGGCGGGTCGAAGCTCGGCTGGGAAGCAGGTTGATCCATGGATGACGAGCCTTATAGAGGGATTTTTGATCTACGATTGGCTGAGGCGGAGAGAGGACCTGGTGCTGGTGGTAGCGGCAGAGATGTGTAACGTGGTGATTGGATGATGATGCAGGTAAAAGCTGAAGATTCTCCCAGTTTGAATTTACACCTTGTCTTAATTTCATGCAAAAGAAATACCCACCAATTGTTGAGTGCATGTACTGTCTGGTACAGTATGTGAAAATATGTTTCAATAGGCCAACATTGTTATATTTAAAAACAAAACTTTAATAAATTCTGTTATCAAACTTTCTAAAAAAACGGACTTGTGGATATTGAATAATAAAAATTAACACTTCGAATATGTAATAGTATGTAATGTAATATGTTAATAGTTATTTTTTTATCTGAATTACTGACACAAATAAAGTTGTTCGTAGTGTTTGTCTATATTTCCAGTTTTAAAGGGTATCTATGAGAAATAGAAATGTTTTATTTCTATTAAAAGTTGCTTTACATGTAAAACTGTAAAACATGAAATAACATATGAAGGTAACACTTTATTTGAAGGGGGGTGAATAAGACTGTCATAAACATGAATAAGCCTTCATGAATATTTATGACTGTTGTCATAAAGTGTCATTCGGTAAATTGACACTTTTAATACAAAGTTGACATTATTCAAAATGTCTTTGTTATGACAACTTGACATTAACCAAGAAATCATTACTGTTTAAACTTTACCTTTAATAACATAGTTACCTAATTTTTAAAGTGCAATCAGTAATACTTTTATAACAAATTTATATCAGTAATGATTTCTTGGTTATTGTGAAGTTGTCATAACAAAGACATTTTGAATAATGTCAACTTTGTATTATAAGTGTCATAATTTACCGAATGAGGCTTTATGACAACAGTCATAAATATTCATGAAGGCTTATTGGTGTTCATGACAGGTGTTATGTCATGTTTGTCAGTCTTATTCACCCCCCTTCAAATAAAGTGTTACCCATATGAATTACAAAAAGCTTTAGTTTCATCTGGTTCATTGGTATTTTTAGAGGCTGCCAATCATTTTTGTTTCTAATAACAAATGTACTGAAATTTGAGATTGTGCAACTGCACTTAAGATTTCAAGAGATGAGTAGGGCACTGTATGTTATCTCCCATGCAAATAATATTTCCAATTTTTATTTGAAAGATTCACTCCTTATGTTATTTGTCTCATAGTTTTCATTTAAAATTACTCAAGCTTCTCTGGAAACTTTCCCAGCTCAAGTTTTCCCAGCCAGTTCACTTGAGTTATTTATGTGCACTTCCAGTTGTGGATAGAAAATTTCATGTTGTTCTTAGATGTAGTCACTCAACTATCGTGCCAGATAACTGCTTCTCCTAATTTTAACCATATCTGAAATAACCCTCTCGCCGATCTCCTCTCTACACACCCGTGCTCTACGAGCAAGCAGCGTGCGAGAGACAGGAACAGAGGAAGTTGCCGCGCTGCTTTGTGGTAGGCGAACAGGGTGTGGTGCAGACGCTTGGACGTGTGCATGGTCATATTTAAAAAACTACGGCTTTGCAACGCTGCATATCAAGACAGCTTGGGGTTTGTTTTGTCCCCCCTCAAAAAAACACTGTGAGGATCTTCCACAAAAAACAAGAGTGACTTCGTATGTGCAATGCGAAAATGTAGCTCTGTTGCTGTATGTGCTTCGTGATAAAAAGAGAGCAATTCCCAGCATGTGCAGAAGAAGTCAGAGAGGTGTAGTATTTCTCTAGAGTTTGAACTTCAGCTGCTTTTAACAAACAGCTCTTGGAAGGCAGCAAAAAGAATCAAGCATGAAAAAAGTTATTGTTGGACTCAGATGTCAAGGAGTGTGTTATATGTTAGACTTATACCTGCTGTAACTTACAATCATTCTTTAACACAGAAGTTCAGATTTTAATCAGTGACTATTTCCCTAACTGTCCTTCCAATGCAAGTGCCTGCTGAGCTCTGAGCGTGTGTATCCCTTTACTCAGATTAGGGCCCGTATCACCTTTGAAGACGGGTGTCACCTTTTTGCTTCCTGAACCAAAACTCCTGTGATGTGTCTGCATGTAAACAGCAGGGCTCTCCTCAAAGCTGTTTTCCGCTCAACAACTTTTCAACAGTGGCTGTTTATGGTCCCATAATAGCCAGACAGTAAATACGGCCTTTAGTGCTTGTAAAAGCAGCTTTCCTTGACAACAAGTTCCTACGCTGATATGAGGACAAATTTGATGGGAGCCTTTGTTGTTCATTTCCTTATCTGGATTAAATCTGAAGCAGGTTGCAGCGAGAGCTGCTGGGAAACAACTCTAACAGAAGATTAAAGTTCAGGGCAAAGTTTTACGTAAACTGCCTTACAGAAGTTACCTCGTTCACTTTTTTTTTTCCTTTGGCAACCACAAATTTCAATTTGTTTTAGTGTGATTGTGCTAGACCTAAACAAAGTTTTGCATAACTGTGAAAAAAACAATGCACGGTTGTCACAGTTTTTGAAAACAAAAATCATACATATGTGGCCTGCATATGTATGCACTCATTTTCACTGACTAAAATTTTCCTGTGAAGATGTTTAAATCTGGTTTCTGGTTATAAAACATCACAGGTTTTGAACATCTCGCTGACACAATCTCCAATCCATTGTCTGGAAATTGGAAGAACATGATCCAGCAGCAAACCTACCAAGTCATGGCCGTCCTGCTAAT